GGGAAAGAACAAAATTCTTTGGATTTTTTTTCTGTTTCCTTTCAGATTGGTGTAATATGTAGTCAAATAAAGTCAGAGTCAGTCCTACCCTCTTTTCTGTTCTCCTGTCTGTACTCGCATGGCATGGGGAGGAGAGGCTACATGAGTGCCTCCTAGCTGGGCATGTTGAGCAAATCTGTTCCTTTTTGCAAGCACTGCGCTTGCATACTACAGAAAAGTGGACAAGTAGGGTCCTGGAGTAACCTAGGGGTGCTGCAAACAGCAAGAAAACCTCCCAAACTGTTTGCTCGCTGGTATGGTTTTGAATGATTCAGACTTAAACGCAGATCCCTCTAATGAATTAAGACCTGATCACCATGTGATTCTTACCTTTCAAAACTGGAAAACTATTTTATATGAAGACAGAAGTAAAAGTAATGCATCTACCATGGTTTTAAAAAATATCCTAAAAAAATACTTTGAAAATAGGAGAGCTACAGTGAGACCTCTGTGAAAAATGATACATTTAGGCTAAGGTTCCATACTACGCTGAGCTGCCCTAAGGGCTGCCGGCCACCGGTGGGCAGTTGCATATTCCCATGCCTCTCCCTGCACGTGCCCACCGCTGCCCTTGTCCCGCCACTGGTGCTCATCTGAACGTGTGGTAGCCAACTCAGAAAGCTAAAGCGTCACAAAGCTGATCACGCCAAAAAAAGTGAATCGTCTCCTGCCAGTTTGGCTGGCTGGGCCTGCTCGCACAGGCTCAGCAGTGCTGGTGAGGAGGGGTAGGAACATGCAGTCAGGGGAAAGGAAAGAACCAGGACGCCTGCTCTGGCAGCAGATCTGTGCAACTGAAAAGTCACGCTGTGTCCTGGGAATAAGGTTCATTGTACTTATGCTTCCAAGTAGAAATTTGTATCCTCCCATTTTATCTAAAGGAAGTATTTTTAAAAATTTGAAGTACAATTTGACACTCTTCTTTAGTTGAAGTTTGTGATCATCTTGTAGTAAGCCTGACTGGCCTCTTTCATATACAGCTTCTCGCTGGTTTCAGTTGCTGCTTCTCCCTTGTTGTTAGGAAAGTGCTGCTTCTTGTGAGGAAAACATCTCAGAGAGGATGCCTAAATCTCAGCACAGATGTCTTTTCAGTATTGCAAATGTTCCTGTTAACATTGATGTTCACTCTGATAGGGATTTAATACACGTTGTAGCATCTGGTTTCTAAGTACCTGATGAACCGGGGTTTGCTCTCCAGTCTGCAAACACGATAGTGCTCGGATGGGGGAACGCAGTGTTTCAGGTCTTAAGCCCAAGTGGATGAAGGAGAGGAGGTGCCAGCCAAGCTGATGCAGCTAGTGGGGCTCCGGAGAGAAGGGGTTAGCAGAGCACAGAATGGCACCACAGCGGAGAAAAAGGAGCCGCAGCCGAGGAGGGCAAGGTTTGCTGGGGGTTGTGGGGACAGGCAGGCTGCGGCCCAGCCATCATTTTGAATGCTGTTTTCACTGGGACTGGACTGCATCATCTTCAGCACAGAACACACCTGTGTAACTAGTACAGCCATAGGATTGCACAGGTCATCTACTTGTGTGTTGTTTCTCATAAACATCTGGTAGTAACCTATCACCCATAGTCCATGGGGAAACAGCTGGCTTGGCATGGAAATTTTGCTGGTATCCTCTATTCTAAGAGAGAATATTAAGCTTTGGAGGAAATGATTTTTTTTCGTCTGCTTAATTATGAAATCAGTTCATGAGAAGGAGGTGACATGTTTAGGTTGCTCTGCTCTTTCAGTTGCGCAGATGATAGTGCCCAAAGGATCTGTTAAAAAATTGTCATCCTCTTGTATGATACATCTAGCTTGCAGGCAGATATGCTGCAATTGCAATAGTATTTGGGGGTGCTGTTCCATACCAGCTTTCTGAAGGCTCCCCCATTTCCAGTTTCTGTTCAGGAAGAGCTAACTTCTCTCCAACAACCATCTGAGCAGCTAGTCTAACATCAAGAAAAACAAAGCAATTGCTGTCAGCTTGTGTTTATTAGTCCATCTATTTTAAAAGTTGGTTGGTAAACCTGGAAGATTCTTTTGTAGTGACTGTGTGACTACAGAAATGGGAAAGCAAATCCTAACCAGTCAGTGAGCCTGGCTGGGAAGCTGCATGTCATCATTGCATGGCGAGGCGGAGTAGACAGGCTGTGGAGCCAAGGTAGGATCAGAAGCTAGGAATGGGTCTCTTGCACAAATGGCTCATCTGTACTGTTTGTCTTGCCAAAAAAATAATGTGAGGGTCCTTTCAATAGCCCCAAAGCGTCTTCAAGAAGATTGTCTCTGCTTTTTGTGAAGGAATCTTACATAAGAAACTGAACTTTGGCTGCTTTTAAATGCATGCCTTAAAGCATCATGCAAGTTGCCAGAACTGTGATCATTACTTTAGCACCTCCATTAGGGCAGAATTTATAAGCATCTGTTGCACACTTACAACAGTTGCTGCCCAAGGTGGGTATGTTAGTGTTAGCCATTACTGCCACTCATGATTATTGCTCTTCTTTTACGTCTCTCTGACTTTTATTCCCAGATCTTAAGAACTCTTCGGGGTCCCTGACGGAGAGCACTGCCGGGGTGCTTCATCTGTATTCTGCCATTACTATGTAATAAGTTTTCACTTGTCCTTCAGGCTGCACATGCCATAAAAGCAAAGCAGTCTTGCACGTCAGTACTGAGGGCAGCCCTATGGAGAGCAGTTACTTCCTTTTGAGCAATTAATTTCTTTTTTCCTTTTTATTTCCTCCTCTCATATTGATCATTACCATAGGAATACAGGCTGGTCTGGGAATTTCCTTTCATCAGAGTAAAATTCCTAGGCGTCCATTTTCCCTTCATGATTTCAGTTTCCAGTAGGATTGGGAGGAGGCAGCATAGACGTCCCTGAAATACAGCGGTATCAGTAGGACACTTCTGGTAGTTATTTTAACAGTGAAATAGTCGCAGCAAATCTAGTGGCAAATAATTGTAGACATGCAGGTCAAGAATGTGCTCCACGTGTTGTCTCCTAACACAGCAGTGGCATTGCAACATGGGACTGCGCAAAGGTATGTTAAGAGGCCTGAAGATTTACGTTAGCAAAGAAAATTCCCCCAGCTCCTGTGTCCTTGTCCTGTGGAAGAGGCCACCTCTAAGTGTCAGAATGTCATTGTATTTTCAGTCATATTCATTGAAAATGTCATCACTAGCTGCAGAATATTTTCTAGCCTGTTCTTATTTGCATCACTGTTCATGGCTTGGTTTGCTCTAAATATAGAGTTGTAATTTTAACGTGTTGGCAACTGGGGAAGCTTCAACTCTTACACAGTCACTCTCCTGTGTGAGCTCAGGAAAGCTGTGCAAGGCTCAAGTTGACTAGTTTAAAGTGAGCCCCGGAATGAGGACAGCTATAGTTTCTCCACAGCTGAGCTGGTGAGTGAGTCTACTGGGTTTTTCTAAGCAAAAATCACCTTGTCTTTGTGAAGACTTTTAGTGTTAGACTGGTCATCCTCCTGGGTCTTTTCTACAGATTTATTTTCTTTCCTGTTTTGCTCTGTGAGTACAATGCTTGTGTTTTATCAGTCCCCTGTCTTGGTATGCAGTAAATGCTGTGTTATGATAAAGATTATGATAAATTATGGCACTAAGTATAGTAATAAATGTAGGCATAGTGTATATAGGCTATTGTGGAAGAAATTAGTTTCTGTTCTGCGGTTTGAAAAAAAAAAAAGGAGTCATGCATCTGGTTTATGTAGAAATATCCTTATCATCCTGTGGTATCGCTTTATTCTCAGATGAAAAAGCCATAGAGTTTTGTGCAGGAAAGCCTTTGTTACAGATGGCATTGTCCAAATGAATCGAGTGATAATGGAAATAATTTAAAGTTTAGAAGTAGAATAATAAAATCATGGAAGTTCTGTAAGTTTTTTGATGAGTTTCTTCAGTCTGTTGCACTGATGACTTACAACTGAGAAGTTAGGGCAAAGCAAGCAGTGAATTTGAATAGGTATGTATGTGAAGTGCCTTAGAATCCTAATCTTTGAGTGTACGTGTAAAGAAAATAGTTTTAAGAAACAGGTCTGTTCCTCTAGCCTAGCACGCGACATTTTAAGGTGCTTTAAAAACATTTCTCTCTACTGATTTTAAGGTACTTTTATAACATTTCTTTCAAAGAAGTCTTTGCCTTTTGGTTGGTGTCTGTTGTAATGTGTGCTGGAGTATAAGCAGACATACAAGAGGTCTAGTACGGGGATCCTCTCCTCTTCAATAGACCCAGTAACTTCTAGTATTTGCAGAGTTTAGAGCCTGCTGGTATGTACTCATGCTAAACATGTTTCTGTTTCTGAGGCATCTGGTGAGTGTTCTGTGATTTTGTGAAGTTAAATTCTGCTCCTGCTCCTGTGGGAATGTTACAGTATTGGCCATAGGGCTTTATGAATTGTCACAAAATGAGCAGTTGATTCTTGACATCTGCTGTGCTGAAGTGACTGCCAAGTTGCATTGGTAGTTGGCAAGGAAATAAATATTGATAGACCCTAGCAACAGGTACTCCTGAGAACTCTTGTTCTGGGAATGCTTAGGCTGTGTCCAGTGTTATTAAAGTTGTGATAGCATTTTAAGTTTATTTATAGGATTTGTTTGTGTCTTATCACCATCTCTCAGAACTGGAATGCATGAATGGGCTTTGCTGCGCGAGGGCATAGACGTGTATCATATACCCTTCTCTGGTCACTCGTTTCGACATATAACAGATGTTTCACTGTCCAAATCTCAGGGGTAGCTGATGTACACCGATGTATGACATCTCAAGTATGTGCTCATATCTAGACTCTCGTATGTTTGCTATCTGTCCTATGTTGGAATGACTACTCCAGAGCAATGTGCATATAAGTGCATTGGATACAAGAACGTCTTTCTTTTTAGTAATATACTAACAAAACGTTCATTTACAAGATCCTCTGAGAATCCACCAGATAAAATTAGCTTGCTTATATTGTGAAAGCACTGACTCTTGTGAGCACTGTAAGTGAACAATTTTATGTTCTCATTGCAGGAATTGAAGCCAGAGAAGCCTGCGACTGGCTGAGAGCTGCTGGTTTTCCCCAGTATGCTCAGCTATTTGAAGGTATGGTCCCAAAGACTTGTCAAGCAGCTGACACTGAATTCAAGTAGAATTGTTTACATAAATAATCTTTCAGAACCTGACACTTTTGATGGAAGCACTTCCAAATTGTGTAATATCTTCATGCAAAGCAGTAGAAAAATAGTAACGTGGTGTGTGTTCTTGCAGAAGTGACATCTTAATTAGCTTAGCACGGACTCAGCAGAATTCTGTAAAGGACCAAATCTTTCCTGGTTATTGTTAGACTGTAACTCAGTCAAATTTCTGCTTTTGTGATTTTTAGTTGCTTATAATTTTCTCGGGCCCTTTTCCTTGGGGTGTTGGGGTTTTTTCCGACTCGCTGATTGCAACCAAAACTCATCTAAGGCTCTGTGGTCTTGAGCAAGATTGTTTTCTATTGAAAAAGAATGTTGGAAAAATCATCTTGCAATCATAAGCTTTTAAAACAGATACTCAGAAGCAGCCAAACAATGCAATTTCAGCATGTTTTCATGTTGTTAAAGTTACAAAGAGTGCTTATTACTTGTGCGGGAGATAGGGATTTGTTGAGAACTGGTATAATTTTCAGACATTTGTGCTTATACCTTAAAACTGTTCTTCTTTAAAATATGTTTATTGTTACAGACATTGAATGTAACAAAAGCTAATCTATTTTTAAGACAGATTTTATCAAAAAACTACAGTTAAAAGAACAAACAGTAACTTCTACATACTTTCATTCCCACCTCCCCTGTTCATTGCAAAATTAAGAATTGGAAGTCAAGCAACAGAGCCAAATTTGAAAGCTGTATGCTATGAAACGTGATGTCTCACGGAAATGCTTCCCCTTTGACTACAGTAGATTTTATTACATCATAAGCTGTCAATCCTACAGCTTGTTGGAAGCATACATTGTCATGCTTCTGGATAACGAATCTTCTCTATTACCTTGCTGTTTATGCAGTGTCCTGACTTGACTAGGTAAATTAAGTTTAAAAAGTAAGGCAAGAAAATACTGATGGCTGTCATCGATTCCTCATCTGCAAGGCTAAATCTCAGAAGCTGGATCATTGAACTCTTCAGCTGGTGTATCAATTTGTCAGGCTCACTACACCTCAAAGAGCATATGTCACGCGCTGCATTGTACCTTACCACCAGCAAAAGCTCGTGTAAAGCACTCCTAGTTTTATACTGTACTTGGAGGCAGAAGGTGCAGCAAACCTAACCAAGGCAAAACATTAATTTTGTATTGCTTGGCTATAGTACTTAGTCACTGCAAGCAGCAGTGGAATGCAGCAAATGCTTGTCTACCCGTAGCTAATAGCAAGCAAATACCTACATTTATTCTCCCACTTGCTCTAAGGAACTGATCCTCACTTACTTGAAGGACATTTGTGTGAATATATAACTATAGAAATAGATTTAGATTTATTTCACCTGTGATAAATATGTTGCAAAATTCAAAGTCTTTGCAATTATAACTCAGATTTCAGGTTCAACTTCTTTGTTTACAGATATGCAGTTTCCTATTGATGTAAAAACTGTGAGGAAAGATCATGAATTTTTAGATGGAGATGCAATTGAATCACTATTCAGGTAAACATTAATTATGAATCATCTTTAATACCTCCAGGCTCCATAGTTATTTGTCATTCATCTTTTCATGCCTTAGTTTTTGTCAGAGACTAACAAAGTCATCAATGCTACGACTGAAAGAAAACACTTAAGCACATACTTTAGTACCACTGAAGCTGGTTGTTTTAAGAATTTAAAGGTAAAGTAAGCATGTGTCTGCATGTCTTCTTCAGCCAAGGTCTTAGTGACCTTATGCTAAGCATCAAATCTGTATTTTCTGTAATGTGAAATGTCTGCAGGCTGAGAAAGAATAATCAGTTCCCTGCAAGCATAAGGTAGCACGACAGTTTGCTCTTTAGAATTGCGTATTACAGAGTGCAGGGATTTCCTCTGACTAGTGATCTTCCCCAGAGCTGTTCCAGGAGATGAGATGAACAGCAAAACCGATCTGCACAAGAGATACGTTTTCTGTTTTGTTTTCCTGAAAATGTTTTTGAGTGAGAAGCAAAAAGGTATTGATTTGAAATTATTGTTTTGCCACAGCTGTTCACAGCACACAAGTGAAATTGCATCATCAGTGCAAAGTCAAACTCATTGCTCTCTGGACTTTCCCAACATAAGTGTGCCAGGATAGCGTAGAGGCATTCTACTTCACTACTCACTGCAGTTATTGAAGCCTTCTCATCATGAGATTGTTTAGCAGGTGAAGTGAACTCCAGACTATCCATGCCACACCGCTTGGCCGATCCAAGGGACGCAATAAGAATTTCTAACTCTTAAGGGACTGGAAAGTTCTTCTTCTGGCAAAGTGGTTTGGTCCTTTTCTGTATTGTTAGGTCACCTGAACTCAAATTCTGCTTGTAACAACAGGAGCACCAACAGGAGCTGTTTGCATATACATCTCTAATGCACAGCAGATGTTAGAGAGCTTCGGATATGTTTTCTTTCTTGATATGACTTCTGTCCTGAGTGTTCCTTGAAGGCTGTCAGTGTGCCTCCCTGTTGATGCCACGTATTTGTTTGACAGTTAAGTGACTGACTAGTTTGGGGCCTTATTGATTCCACAAGTTTTAATTAAAATGATAGATAATAAAGTCCTTCCAAGGATACAGGTTAAAGACTTCATGGTTTTTTTATTTTTCTAAGAAGCTCACTCAGACTTTCTTTCATTTTCAAAATCATAAATCAAGATGCAGTTTTTAACAATCATTAAAGCTCATTGTATGATTTTTAATTAACTGATTAATTATGGCCCTCTTCTCTAATTTGAAGATGGCAGAGCTGGAACTGTGAACATCATGGGGTTGTCAGTTGGCGCTGTTTTTAGCAAAATGTATGGAGAACCTCTAACAGAATGTCAGTCTTTGACACCAATAATGAAGACGCCATCGTAGAAGTTCACAACTGGTTTGGTGTATGTATGTTTGTTTTTAAGAAAGAAAATAGTTTAAATTTAACACTTCTGTCTTTTTTCTTATACCCTAGACGGCTGAACACATTGAACAAGTGTGCATCAATGAAAGTGGAAATAAGCCGTCAGAGGAAACGGGTATGTTTATAAAATACGGGTAATTTTCTCATCAAAAATGTGTTTCGCAATAGCGAAACCCCTGTTTTTAAAAGGCCTATAAAGGACTAGCAAGGTCTGAACTTTTCTTCCTATTCTTTTCCATCCTGCAAAGCTCTTCCATTTGCATTTTCCACTGAAAAACATAGCAGTTGAATTTATGTAATGTTCGTTTTGTAACTTTGTAAGGTAGGTTAGGGGTGTGTTTTGAAACTTATTTTTAAAAATAATTTGACACATATTACTCTCCAATAGTTGCACCAAGGCCCCACCTCAGCATGTCTTTTATTGCTTTCCTAAGTAGCTTCACATCTTATTTAAGGCCTGAAAGTGAAATTTCACTCTTATTGACTGAATGAAGGATGAGAAATTAAAATGGACAATCCAAATAGTGTCAGCCAACGATGTCAAATGACCAGCCAATAGAAGCTGGATAGGTTTTAGCTGTGCTGGCTTTGTCCACTCCTGCAAAAAAGTACTGTAGATGATAAAACAGAGTTACAGCCACATCTTGGCTGGTTAACACCAGGATTGTAAAGCCTTTTAGGTACCATGTATTAACTGCAGGACCAGCAAGAAAATAATGTCATCTTTTGGAAAAACGTCTAGTTTTTTTGGCAAGTTCCACTCTGCCGTCAGGAAAGAACAGGGCAAGGGAGGGTCCACAGAGAAGAGACAGGTCATTCCCGTCTCTCTTAGAGTTTGCTGGCCAGGCACTCACTTGGAGTGGGGACAATACAGCAAATGGAGCACCTGGGGCAAATGGCTGGTGAGGCTGAGGTCTCCAAGAGGGTGCGCCAGGTATTGATGCTGCCACAGTCCCACAGCCAAATGCTTCTTTACCTGAAAATGGATGAGTTTTGGTCACAGAAGCATGAAAGAGTGGTTGATTTGTTTGGCTTTAGGAAAGGCCATGTAAACCCAATACAATTATCTTTCAAAACCTCTGGATTTGCCACAAAACAGAATTTTTCATCCTCAGATCAAATCTGTCATCTTTCCCTGTGGTAAACTTACCAGATTTGTCAGCATGCTTGAGAGTAATTTGTCAGCATGTTTTTCATCTAACAGAACAGAGCTCAGGGCAGACCTTCAGTAACTGAATGGTCACATTTCCATTTGTTGGTCTTGGGGGTTTTGGAGGTAGGCAGAAAAATTGTCTCCTTTTTTTGTTACATTTTTTGATAATTTAAAGTTTGCCAAACTTTGCCCTTGAACTGTACTTTTGTTTTTTTCCTTCTAAGAGTGATGACTCGGAAGATGATGAACCTTGTGCAATAAGTAACAAATGGGCTTATGAGAGGTGCAGTCAGAGATGGTCTCGTATCGAGAGCCTAGAAGGTTTCCCAGGAGAGGAAGGTGCTAGTGCATCAGTCCCAAGCAGTCCAATACTGAAAAGCATCAGCAACGAGGCTTCTGTCTTTTTGGATCATGGCGAGAAACATGATGTGTCCTCAATTCACAGTACTAGCAGTGGTGACAGTGACATTGTTAGCTTCCCAAAACCTTTTGAAGATGTGGAAACCAGCACGAGTTCCTCAAGATGTTCCTCAATTAAGGTGGCTTCACTGGACTCTACCTTTAGTTGTTCTCCTCCCCCCAGTGAATTTTTAAATATCACCAGTGAGGAGAAGCTTTTGGATAAATCGCCATGTAAAAAGAGGAAGAGCCTTCTAAAGAAAATGGAGAAGTTGCATTTAAGGAGCTGCAACTTAAGGAGTGGTCAGTCAAAGGCCAAACCCATAATAAGTGAACCTGTTCTTCTGGAGGGACTTAACGAAGAAAAGATGAAGATGCTGAACTGTGTAAATATTTCTGACCTCTCTGGCATCCAAACAAAGAACAATTCTTCCTTTTCTCGACAGAGTTGCAATAGCAGCAATCGGTCTGAAAATAGCAGCACAGTGAGCACTCCAAGTCCTGCTATAAAACCACGAAGCCACTGTGAAGGAAGGGGGGTGTATGCAGAGGACTTGGATTCTAGCAAGGTCTTGCTGTGGAATGATCTATCTCAGCAAAATCTAAAAAATGACATGAAGTTACAAATGAACCAGATGTTTCAAATACCACAAGGCCATAAACCAGGCACTTTCCCCAAAGCACTTACAAACAGTTCCCTGTCTCTTGTAGACGACAACTCTTCCGTCAACTGGAGAACTGGGAGTTTTCATGGGTGCAGAAGCAGCCAGAGCAGAAGCGGTTCCAAGGACTCCAAAGCCCCCAGGAGCCCCCTTTCATGCACAGATAACAGGCTAAGTGTATATGACAACATGCCCAATGTTGAACTTGATAAGTTGGAGGCAATAGAAGTTGGTGATGAGGATGTTTTTACAGAACTGAACAATGTTATAGAAGATGTCAATGGTCTCAAAAAGTTGGTTGATCAGTGGACAGAGAAGTTCTCAGATGATGTGGATTCTGACTTTGCCAGTGACTTGACCTCTTTGTATCCATCCTCACCTAAAGAAATCTGTCTTGAAACAGAGGGCTCAACAGCAGACCTCCCAACCACTGAGGGAGAGAGCAGCTGTGAACTGGGCAAGGAGATCAGTTCTGCAGACCTGGCATACGTGACAGACTCTAAAAAGACCAACAGGTCAGCCATCCTTGGGTTTCTCTAGTAGACTGCCCCTTGGGAACCTTTCCCCATTGATTCTCTCCACTCAAAATGTAATTGCTTTTCCAGAACAAAGTATTCTTAAGTAAGTCTGTTCTGGGTAGCAGGGTCTGCACCGCTGGTGCCAGGTACTGCTGGTCTGTAGGCAGTCTGGTATCTACGTCTGCTCTGACCTCTGTTGAAAGTAGGGCGCTCACAACCTGCATGAGCACTTAGACATTGGGAATCAGACTGTATGGCTAGCTTGCTGTATTTCTGATTGAAACATTTTGTATTGCCAGAGTACCTCCTGGATGGGAAGTACCTTCTTTAGTGGTGTTTGGGAACCGCGGGTCATTTAGAGTCTTCACAGATGCAGGCAGAAAACTAACAGGGACAACGGAAATAGTCCTAAGCTTAAACAGTATTTATCCCGTAGGCATGGGAAGCAACACTGGTCTGTGGAAGAGAGCGTGAACTTGGAAAGCCTTCCCACCCAGACTGATAGCCAGTCAGCTGCCCAGCTAGCCCGGACACAAAAGCTGGCTTTGTTGAAACTCACTGCTTTAATGGACAGATACTCCCCGTCCAGTAAGCAGGGTTGGAACTGGTAAGTTGTCTAACATTAAAGCAACCTGTGCTGGAAAGAGAGGGTTTGATGTAAGCAGTTGAATTTCCTTGTCTGCCTAGATTACACATGTTCAAGAAGAGGAATTTCATCCTGTTAAATTGCTGGCAGTTTCATGGTTATTTCAGTGGCTCCAGGATTTCCTCTGCTACGGACTGCACTTTTGCTCCTCGCTGGTGGTCATGTTGTTACTGATTTTAAAGCACGTTATAGTTTCCTCTTTAAATTTGCCCATTTGCAAGGCTTTGTCAGAGCTCCTTCACAGAGATTGCAGGACCTGAGGTGAGAGCTGGCTGGGCTGAGAATCCATTTCTTCAGCATCAAGTCCCAGTTTGAACTAAAACAATCACAAAGTCAGTCACTCGTAGGACTTTGAAATATCAGTTAGCGTCTTGTGATAGGGATCTGGTACTTGAATGTAGAAAGAAGTGAAAAAAGCCTGCAGTGTCCTAAAGGGATGGAACATATTTCACATGAGGATGCTTTATTAAAGCTAACTTCAGTTTTGAAATGAGGAAGTCAGTCCTGTAATTGCCCTTAATGATTTTCTCTCTATCTTACGATGCTATGTGTACAGGCACGTGGCGGAATTTGGGGATGTGGCAAGTATAACTAAATCCTTTCCCATGCATGTAACTAAAGTAGCAGGAACTGTGCCGGAGAGCTAATAAGTTGGATGCACTGGTTTTTGTTTTCAGGACCATACCAAAGTTCATTAAAAAAATAAAAGCCTCTGACTACAAGGACAAAAATGTGTTTGGGGTCCCTTTGCTCCTGAATGTTCAGCGAACAAGCCACCCATTGCCTAACGGCATACTGCAAGCACTGGACTATCTAAGAAGCCACTTTCTTGACCAGGTATGAACTTGAGGCAGCCCAGGGCAGCTCTGTTCCGTAAACGGATCTGCTCCAGGGAACCAGTCTCTGCTTCCAGCTTTTGTGAGGGACTTTCTTGCCTTTCAAGGCTCTGAATAGGCAGGAAGGTGTAGGTCTGAGCGGGTGGCCTGCGAGGAAATACCAATGCTGTTTCCTTCTGGGAATGCCTTTAGTCCTGTGTTGTATTTTTGTGCCTTGCCTCACTGAAATCATCTGCAGCCAGTTCTCTTGGTGCAGGCAGTCAAGCTGTCTTCTCCTGGTGAGGTAGCATGCCTCTGCTCCCTTGGGAAGTAAATCTACCACACAATGTTGTTATTCCCTCCGTTCTGTGGTTGCTGGTAGTGCCAGAGCTAATTTAATAATTAATCTTGTTTCAGCTGAAATGTACCACTAAGCAGAGATAAAATATATTACACCAGTGCCTGTAACATCTTTTTCTGTGTCGCAAATCCATATTTATCCACTAAGTGGAGATGTGTGCATGGCAGTGAAAGCGTGTTACATATGCTCTTTCTATAGCATAGGTGCAGAAATGGGAGACCCCATGACATAAGACATATTAGTTAAAGAAAGGGCTTTCTTTTTTCTGTGCTTTGCAATTGTATAGGTGTGTAATATTATGCCAAAGCACAAAAATATGTGCATTCCATGAAGTTACAACGCAGTTTGGTGGCACAAACTGGAGTGTGAGCAGTCAGTTTCTTATGAAGGCACTGTGTTTCATTTTGAGGTCGTGGTACCTATTCAGTTAATATAAATAAACCAATGAATGTGAATTCTGTCTCAGTGGCACACAGTGAAACTTTCAGCAGAGGCTTTGTTGAGGTCGAGTTCATGGGAAACTTCTAAATCTAGGTTTTGTCTGAAACTGGATTGACATTCATATTAAAAATAAAATCATAATTTCCCTCAGAATGACAACTGGTCTTTGCCAACCTGTAGACGTATTAGATGCATCAGACATATCAGATGTTAAACCCGAACCTTGTGGATCTCACAGTCTGAGTTTGTTTGCTCCACATGGGCATCAATGTGCATTTGCTTTTGGATGCACACACGTTGGTGCGCTAGAAACTTGCAGTTCTAATGTGTGAACATAGCCTGCTCGAGCAAACTGACAGATGGCAATAGTAATGATTTTAAAAGTAAAAAAGAGTAATTTTGCATTTTTAATGCAAAATTAATAAAAAGCAAGCAAACAAGCATGAAAATTGGTATCTCTTTCACAGCTGGTTCTGTGGGTGTCGGTCATGGTTTGCCTGGGAGGAATATCCGTGCTGCTTCTAATGATACAAAAATATTTTGGTGTTAGATCTCACTACCATAGGATCTTAGCTATCAAAGGAAAGTGAAGGATCAATTATTTGTCAGAGGTTTGATTGCTGATGAGCCCTCTCTTTAATATTTTCTTTTACCTGTAGGTTGGCCTGTTCCGAAAATCCGGTGTTAAATCCAGGATTCTGTCTTTAAGAGAAATGAACGAAACCAACCCCAACAACGTATGTTACGAAGGGCAGTCAGCATTTGATGTGGCCGATATGGTGAAGCAGTATTTCCGAGACCTTCCCGAGCCTATATTTACTAGCAGGCTCTGTGAATCCTTCCTCCACATCTATCAATGTAGGTCACAAAAGCTATAGTTTTCCAGTTCCTTGAATATCTTAATATTCAGCTGTACAAGGCAGTGGCCAGACTAGGACTAGGGCCATGTCCCCTTGTAGTCAGAGGAGACAAGTCAGGCAGGACGTTTCTGAAAAGATGAGTTCGTTGTGGCTCTAGACTTAAGAGCTTCCCATCTGCATGCTATGAGCCAGCTATTTCCTAACATTGTGTCTTTTCTGTTCTTTGAAGGATGAGTGTAATTACATAAATTGTAGCAGCCCTCCTAAACTGCGTTTTTAAACGGTCATTTCCTTTGGCAAAATTAAGGAAGAACCCAGTCCCCTTGTTCATGGTATGAAGTAGCTCCTTGTGCACGAAGTCATGTTATATTGATGAAATTTCTTTATTAAGGTGCCCAAGCACAGTTGCTGTGAAACAGCGTCTGCGCCTGGAAACACCAGCAACTTTCTGCCTGTGCTCTCACTGTTGAGAGCATCCTTGAGACTCAGCCTGGAAAAGAAGGAAACGTGAAGCCGAAATCTGTCCTTGAATATAGTTTTAAACAGGTTCCATCGCCGGTACTTTGCCCTCAAGGGATTCACTTTCAAAAAGCAGCTGGTTTGGGGAAGGAACTTGCTGTAGGGGCTTATGATGATGTTGCTACAGGGAAGTTTCTTCTTGAGAAAAGGTTTTGAAAGTCAAAGTATGGGATTTCTGAGTGGACTGGTTTTTAGCCTGTTTTATGTGACTTCTCTTGACATGAGTCCATGAGCTGCTGCTGCCCTTATATGGTGCAGCTTCGTGAATGTTTGGTTGGGTTTTATTTTTTAACCTGTCAGGCTTTTAGAATTTTTCCTGAAAATGATTTATTTGTTTGAAGCAAGTTTTCTTTTTGCATCCACAAATCCTTTTTGTGAGGGGGTCCACAATTCCTATGTCCAACAGTTCCTATGGAACTGTTTTCTTCCATTTATTATAACCTGGCCATGGTCCACCTCCCGTCTCTTGTTTTGGGAAAGAAACAGCAAATGACTGAATTCTACTCACCCTACTCGCCCATTTTGTACCACATGTGACTTGCGCAAGCGCCGTGATTAAATTACTATCTTCTGGAGATAAGAAATGTGCTGCTTTCACCAAAAAGCATGTTTTGTGTGGTCTGCGTGTGT